TTTTAATAGTTTTCTCACAGGAATGATCGACCTGAATGAGAAGAAGAAGCCTCAGAATATGGGGCAAAATGCAGATCCATGGATCATTAATATTTACATATACTTCAAGCTAGGGAGAATTGGATTTTCAGGCTGGCCTTTTAGCGTAATATATGCGTTCTGGCTCTTGATTGTGACGCTGCCACAGCCTGAGAGGCAAACTGTGAATACATTTGAAGTGAATCTTTTAATGGAGACATGAAAGAAGGCCTGTGAAGGCCAGTCTCTCAGTGGTTGCTGCAAGCAATTGTGCTCTCCTAAAGTGTTTGGGTTACTCAAAATTAAATAAGACCGGCTTTCCCTCCAAAGTGGAAGTACTGTAAAGTATTGACTAAATTGTGCAGTCTTCTCTTTTACCACAGGAAATATGAAGCTTTGTTTTGATCATCATTGCTGCTGGTGGATAAAAGCACTGAACCTGCAAAAGCTCTTTTCAGGAATGAAAAACAAGCTGTGATATTCTGTATCTTATGACAAAGAATCGTAAGTATTTTAACACTCGCTAACCTAGATTTATGAAACTCATTCTGCAACATATAAAAAACCAATCAAGTCAAACACCAAAAGTTTCGGTTACAAGGTGATCTATGCCATCATCTTGATATTCCATTTTCTCTAGCAGAGTTGGTGTTAGTGTCCCTAGTAAAGTGACAAGTGCTGAATGAGTAATGAGCTCCATCACTTTTTCATCTCTTTGTTCATCTCTCTTTAACTTTTATCATTTTGTTTTGACTCCCTCTCTCTCTCTCTCTCTCTCTCTCTCTCTCTGTGAGTGTGTGTGTGTGTGTGTGTGTGTGTGTGTGTGTGTGTGTGTGTGTGTGTGTGTGTGTGTGTGTGTGTGTGTGTGTTAGTTCAAAAGATTTTATGATTCATTTGCAATTCTGTGCCCAATCTCAGCCAGCAATTTATTTTCAAGTCCTTGAAGGTAAATCTGTCACTGGTGATGTGCACTGAGACATTCCCATGCAAGGACAGAGTGGCAATTAGAGAAATAAAACAGAGAGATAGATTATATTCATTTGGTTCATTGCTTGACACTGACTTATCTATTATTATCTATTCGATTCAGCTTGGCATATGTTCCATGATGCTATGTCCCTATGTGGTTTGGTAAAGTTCTGTTTATGGCCTTATACATGATACTGGTGCTGTTTGTATGAATTCTACCTGATGAAGCTGTGAGGGCCAGAACACTGTAATTAAAATGTGTGTAGGATTTTGGGCTTCATTCTCATAAAACCCCAAACAATCCACTGTGCAAATTCAGTTTGCTGTTGATTCAAGCAGGAAGACCTGCTTATTCCCCCTGAAAGCTCCTGAGTCCATTAAACCCACCCTGAAATGCTTAAAGGATAAACAGAGAGTACCAAACATATACAGTATATTTTATTCAGTAGCCATTCACAGTGTACTCTCAATGAAAATGATAATACTCCACAAACTGCCATTCACCACCAACAGAGAATCAGAATATATTATACCGTCTTCATTAGCTATCTATCCTGATTACGCATTTGCCTAACGCCATAAGCTGCTTTTGAAAGTTTTTAAACCAACATTCCTATTCTTTAAAAAATGACCGGCTGTTAATGTAGGAAGAACCTGTCCTGTTCTGATGCAACAGTGACAAAGTGTGAGCTGAGGAGACTTTTATGGCTGTATGGCAACAGCGTCTGTGGGGGATGAAACCTGTCTTATTGCTCTCCAGATGCTCTGCTCTAACATCAGGTCATTCAGAGTCACGGTGGGATTGGTTCTTCTTCAGCCACCAATTCTGCCTCTTTCAAAGCCAGACGTCATTACTGCGGCTCCGTGCCTGTGTTCTCAATTTACTCTAACAAGGCTCACACAGACCACTATAAAAGTGTTGGCTGTCTGTTAATATCAGGAATCACCTGCTGTCTGTAAAAGCATCTGGTTTTGTTTCTATGTTGCTGCTCTGTTTAAAGCATCTTTGGGACACTGACCGGAGGAGTTGGCAGGAACAGATTACATTAATTCAATTAATCTGGGGGGAAAAAAGATAACTGCAGGCTCTTGTGTTAGTTACATGCTAGTGAGGCTTGTGTAGATTTCTTCTTACTGCAAGCACCTTTGAAGAAGTGAGAGGCTTTTTGATTGCAAGATGACAACAAAAACACAATTTAAGATAACAAAGCTGTTCATAAAATATACAGTAGGCTATATACAGTATTATAGGGGCAGAAAAACTGGAAAAACTCCTTTTGTCTTCTCACTATTACACAAATGATTGTTAGATGGATACAATATTGGTGGTTTGAGATTTCAAGCTTGTTTTTAAAAAGCCCTTCAGCAGCTGGTTAGTTTAGCTAAACACAAAGACTGGAAAATGGCGGAAACAGCCAGTCATAATCTGCACTTTTAAAGCTCACTAATGGGCATTTTATGTAAAGTAAATAAAAGTTAAGTTTGTGCAGTAGCTTACCATTTGGCTGGAATTAGTCGAGACTCCAAGAAGTTACTGCTTCCACCAACAGTGAGAGATTTGATCATAAAAACAAGATATATTGTGTTTAGTGAGTTTGGATTTTGTGGATTTTGTTACCTTTGGACAGAGCCAGGCCAGCTGTTTCCCCTGTTTACAGTCTGTATGCTTTGCTAAGCTAACTGCCTATTTAACAGATATGATAGAGTGGTATCAGTCTTCTCATCTAACTATTTCCCAAAATATCGACCAATTCCTTGAACGTTAATGCAAAATGTGTTGATTGAGTGAAATTCATGGGAATCAAATCCTTCATCATCCTCATTTATCTGGAATAAAGCATCAGACCAGTCAGACTGGTCGATGAGAGGCAGATGATCAGCAAAGCAAAAGGCTCAAATCCTCGCCGCTTCTCTGATATGTTCAATCTGAACCTGGGTTTACACACAGTATGTTAGTGATGGAAGGCAAATCAAGCTCTGATGGACGCAGCCGCTACACCGCAGGCTATCAATCAACTCCAGCTGATTCTGAATGCAGCCCACCATGTGCTGCACTCTGGCCCAGGGTGAAGGAGGAAAAGTCAGCTATTTCTTGCTGTCTCAGTGTGGGCACCAGCAAGTTCATCACAGAGATGCACAGCCTCTTTCCTCCGGGCCCGAACCCTCGACAGTCTCCTCACAGTGTTGCGTCTGAGGCGAGCGACAGGCTGGACAAACAGATTGGCTGGAACCGGATAATGAGGCCTGCTCCTCTCCAGCCAAAAGGCCGGCCAGCCAGCCAAACCCACATATAAACAAAAATAAAAATGGCAATTACCTTTTCATTAAGTTCCACTTCTTGCTCTCCTCCTCCGTACTACAGTCTGCCCTTTGATTGGAATTAGATTCCTGATATGAAAAAGTACATTCTGGTTCTTGGTTTGAGTGATTTCTAATATCTGTAACTATCCAGGCTGCATCAAGAAGATCGACCACAGACTCAATAGGTCACCCTGTTATCTACTATGGCCCTCCTGCCTCTCATAACAACTGATGGGGATTGATTTGGGCTATTTATCACAAACCTGACATCTAGGAGAGCAGCGCTTGCCAACCCACCATAACAATATCTGACTTGAAACACAATGATGGGGGAATATGAGCATGTCCATATCAGACTGTGGCCCATCAATAGCAGGCCTCTCACAGAAATAACTGACCTTATTATTCATTCATTCAACCTTGAAGGAAATGAGCTACAGAGATGGTAAGAGCAGAGATGAGTGTAATAATGGAGCACCAACTGATGACTGATGTTATAAGCAGAATGAAATTCTTGACTGCCACGGAGAAAAAACACACACAAAACAATAGCCCCGAGTTACAAGAGTGCTCCAATACCATCTAGTGGCGACTTCACACACACACACACACACACACACACACACACACACACACACACACACACACACACACACACACACACACACACACACACACACACACACACACACACACACACACACACACACACACACACACACACACACACACACACACACACACACACACACACACACACACACACACACACAAAAGCAGAGAACGAACAAACATTGACTAAGTGGTGGGAAATGAAAAAAGGAAATCTATTCGGGCAAAAACTAGGGGCGATAAAGCTGTTCATCCTACTCACCCAGCACCAGGACGCTGCTGTAAATCACTGCCCACCAACACAAACTGGTTCAAAAACTGATTTTTACCAACTACAGTACAGACTTTTACTCCAACCACTGCACTCTTAGCAAACTGCACTAGCTCTAACTGTTTGATGTATATTGTGGCCATATACTGTATTTGTGCAGTATTATTTAACACTGAATGTGTAATGGTGTTCATGGGTCTGTGCTTTTTTTCAGTGATCATACTAAGTTAACAAGTAATGCATGTCAGACCCTGACTGACCCTGATTAACCTTGTCAGACAACAGAGGGGCGCTGCCTCAAGTGCACTAGCTCAGTTCCTGGGGAAAAGGGGGCAAGAGCAGTTGTTCCCCTGTATGTTAATGGCAGCGCTGGACAAAAACCCACATCTGAATCTTTTGGTAAAGAACACCATCTGCTGGAAATCTCAAGAAAAACATTACCTGGTCCATATCAAGCTCCGTACATTAATTGTAGACTGGTGGTTAAATCCCAGGCGCTTCCTGCCCACATGCTGATGTGTCCCTGAGCAAGATACCAAAACCTCTAGTTGCTCCCCATGTGGGAGGAAAAGTTGCTTTGGACAAGTGTCAAATGAAGTTAATGTAAAGCATGCATGAGGCATTTCCCGGTAGCCAAAAGGTCCAGTATGCCGTATTTGAGTTTTAGTGCCAGAATCAGTTAGCTAATCAATACTTTTAACATTTCCTCTTCAGGGGTCATACATTTTCAGTTGAGAAAAGAGAAGATTTAATAGATTACTCTTCCAGGAAACAAATGGTTTCAAATGTACTACTGATGAGCATTTTTCATTAGAACAGAATCAAGAGATATTTCATAAAATTCTTTATTCATAAACTTGATGCAAGTTTACAAATTATTTTACATGGTCAAAATCACCCTTGCAATGGAAAAAAAATGAAACCAAACCAAAGCATGCTAACAGTGCATAACTTTATAACCCGGCCACTGCAGTTAATGAAGCAAGGTAAAGAACCCATAATCAGGCTAATTCAGACCTCAGACCCAATATGTCGCTCGCCAAAGCAGAGGTTTGTGTTAGTCAGACAACATTGAGTAGGTGGGAGAGAAGCTGTATTCAGTGCACAACAGACTTGAGCACACCATTATTCCAAAGGTCAGGTTAAAGATGCGGGCTTACAATTGTTCTGATGGCACACAAATCTGAACTGCTACTTTTGTTGGGCATCCTGGCATTTTTAAAAAAGGTAATCCAAGCAGGTAGAATAAGTCTATGTGTCTCAGATAGTTACTGACCTGGTTCAATAAGTGGAACACAGAGAAATTATTCTGTGCACTGATGCAGGAAGTTAAGTAAACAATTCATGAAAAACTGATACATCTATTCTTATTAACCACTCTACCCAACCGCTCTTTCCCTTCAGTAGCTTGGGGGAAAAACACCCATTGATATATTGACATGCAAAATACAGCAATATCAAAGACACAGGGCAGACGTATTCTGAACCCCTCAGCGAGCGCAAGATAACGCGAGGGTGGGAGCAAATCCTTGCTCCACATATCTGATCATTCCAAAAAAAACTTGCTTAGTAATTAATTAATTTATCAACCTCAACATTCACAAATTCTAAGTGTGTGCAAGTCGACAGCAAAACACACTGCGATGCCTACTGGTAAAACAGGGACGTCGTTTTTAAAATGACCCAAAAAAAGATTGACACATTCAATCTTGCATTTTGTGACGATATTCTGAAGCAATCCTTTGCTAAGTCGAGTGTGCAGTATGTATTCCTGAGTTTGCTTCTCCAGAGAATGCAGGGGTGGGTTCGACAATGTGACCAGAATGAAGTGATTAGTACGTTACCAATGGCACAACAGCTAACAACCATGCCAATGATCCATAGTCATGTTGAGATCTTGCTTGCGGTGAGACAAGAAAGGAGAGTGACACTAGTTACATACCCTGCAAGTCTAATCCAATGTCAGACGTGTGCCGAGCATGAAAAGCGGTTTGTTTGTACCCATCTACCGGTTTTTGAAGATGTTCGTGTTGTGACTGAGGTTAACATCCGTGAGAAAATTGTAAATCAACTCAAAAACGAGGAATGTCTGTATGAGTTAGCATAACTAAGCTTTCTATGCTGGTTTTTCAGGACAATATACTTAAAACAATGCAAGTAACCACACAATAGAACACCCACAACAAACGTGTAACTGCATTAATTGGAATGCTCCACACAGTTTTCTGCATATTATTCACATTACATCAAAGACCCAGCACACTGAGGGGTACAGCAGTGCCGAGAGTGGTTATGAATAGTAACCAGAGAGGTGGTAATGGGAAGAGCTGGGTCCTTCCTGTGGCAAATCTGAACAAATATTTATCAAACCTACGCAAATATTCAGGAAACGGAACAGACTCCAGTCGATCTTCCCAGGTGTGAAGCCAGAAGGTATATGGTCAAGACTATTGCTGTGAATTTGAAACTCTGGCTGCAGTTCAAAGCCAGCCATGAGGTCAAGGAAAAGTCAGCAGATAAAGGTCCCCCCCCCCCCAGACTGTTATGACTGCAAGATTGGCAAAGTGCTCAGGATGTGAACCGGCTACAAGAACTAAGCAGGTGACTACACTGTTAAGACTAATTTTCTTCAGCACAACAAAACTCCACAAGACTGTGTCTTCACTGCATAGTCTTACTGAGGTTCGTCCGGTTTGAGTGATTAGATATGAAAAGCCAAACCTCTGGAATGCCAGAAAACAGCTGTGTCTATGCCATTATTGTTACGGCCATTGTAATTAAGAGGTGCCATCAAATAAGGGGAATGGTACTGTCAATGTTGCCAATAACATGAGGATTACAAATCAATATAAAAAAAAAAAAAAGAACAAAACCGCAGTAGTCTTTAAGCTTACATAAGAACATGGCGTACTTTTGTTTCCTTCTGCAAGAGTATCCATGAAGCAACTTTTTCTTATTCTAAATGGGTCTTGCAGTGCCCCTGCTGTTAATAGTCAAGGGTATATAGTAATACAGTCTCTGCCCAGCCAAAGACCCAGACAAGGTTACATTATAAACAATTAAATCCTTTTGCAGAAATACAAATTTACATGTTTACACGTGGAGTTAAAATCAACTACATTACAGTGTGATCAAATCCAAACACGCCCCTGCTTTGCCTGGTCATGTTTCTTGTGTTGCCAGCCTAGCCACACACCAAACCTCTCCTGCAGGGAGTTGTCCAGTTGCTGGTTATTGATGATGACGACAGTGGTCTCCAACTTTTGGAGCTCAGCGGAACGCTGTTCTTTATTATGTGCTGTCCCACCCCAGGCTGCACAAGTCTCTTCCTCCCCACCTCAGGGCTTCAAGCTTTAAAAGATAAAGAGGTTTGAAAGCAAGCTAGCCTCAGAAGCATGTTATTCCAGAGGAGGGATCTTGGCATTACAAAGATAATACATGAGCACAATATTACACAGGCCGTCCATGGAGAGAAAAGGCAGTGGTTCTTCCCACCACCAGCATTTAAATGTCCTTCCCAGCCACCACTGTATTGTATCAGGGAATGTCATATGCCACTCTCAGATCCTGTCTGTGGCCAGAGAGGCAGTGTCCGGCGACTGGAGCGTCAGACTGCTGGATAAAGCCATGCCGCACCTTTCAACTCACAGCCAGCAAGTAACCTTGGCATGCCCAACGCCAAAACCAAAGGGTGACTACGCAATATTTAGTCCGCCATTTTCCTGGAGTACGGGATGAATGTCGCAATGGAAAAATTAGATTGTATAAGATAACAGATGTACAGAGAGATAAATATCTGAAGAGAGGACACTCTTAGCTGAGTAGCTGATGAGCTTGGATGTACATTTCAGGTGGGGGCATGTGTGTCTGGGTGTGCTAGTATCTGCGATGTCACTGAATGAGGAATTTGGTTTGGAGTTCAAACTCTCATGTAGAGAACAAAATGGTTTGCAGGATAAAAAAAAAAAAAAAGAGAAATTGGTCGCAAATGGGGGAAAGAAAGTCGAAGACATGTGGTCCCATTGCAGGAAAGGCAAGAGTGTTTTAGCCGTCTTCCTTAGGGGGTGTGTACCAGCCTGGAAAAGACAAAAACAAAACAACAAAGAATGACTAAACAGTCAACATAAATAATCTACAGTAGCTAAAACCAATAATATAAAAGTTACAAGCACATGATTTTTACATGTGCACTGTTCTCTGCCTCACTGGCTTGTACCTGCTTTTCCAACCATGTCTTGTTAGTGCTGAAACCAAAACACCAGGCAGAAAGTGTCCAGTGGTTAGACTCAGGGGCACGTATGGCTCAGAATTTCAAAGAGGTTCAGCTAGGCTTTCAGCTCCCAACTTTTATATTCTACAACAATTAAATATAGCTCAATGTAGCCTGACAGAGTAAAGGTCATTTACATATTTCTACTTGCGTGTCTGGTTTTGAAATGCAGTGTGCTGTTTTCACAGAGGTCAAGGACAACAAGATAAATTTGCATTAATGGTCATCTTTGAACCAGTTACTTACCACTGCCATTTCTCCAATAAAATTAACTTTTAAATGTGAATGTTGATCTTGTTGATTCTATTGTCACCTTTATGTTAAAACTGCATATTCATTGGATTTGTTTGGTAATTTGTCTTTCATAATAGACAGTACCAGCACTACTTCTGACACTGTAAGCAACACTTTTTAATGGCAGTAATTTCTGACATCCATTAAGCTTCTATAAAGCAATTTACTATGAATCTATAATTATGTATTTAAATAATCCCAGAACTAAATAATACCAGTTGTTAAAGTTCTTTTCTCTCTCATTATGCAGTTTAGTTCATATTAGCAGACATTTACTGTCACGTTTATACAGTTTATACGTAGTTAATATTGCTAACTTCTTTCTTCACGTTATAATCTCAAGGCTCAGAACAATCCTGTGTGTTTACTCTTGTTAACTTACAAGGTCAGTAAGATCTTTGACCTCAAGTAGACCTACTGGTAAATGTGGGACATTAAATAGTGCTGTCAGTAACAGATTTTAACAGCGTCACGGTGACAGCGAAGCCAAAGTGATACGGTTATTGTTTAAGAATCTAGAGTGAATGAATGGCATTGAATCACAAACATTTTGTACTTACACTTTGTATGTGTATTATATTATAAGTATACATGCCAAAAAGCACTACACCAGTCACACAAATTGAGTGTAAAAATGTGGGCTACATGCATGTAAATGTTGTCCATGTTTGGAACAGACACAACAGTAGAAGCACTAATTTTGCTCAGCTTTGATGCATGGGAGGGATTTGGTTTCAGTAAACAAGGTCAGTAATTCAGTCAATATGAAACTGGAGACAAAAACACTCACCATTCTTTTCATGGATCTGAACCAGGGATTTGTAGGACTGCTGTGCTCTGGCAAGATTGTACTGGTTCTGCATTAAAAGATGAAAATGAAGTCAACCTTAGAGTGTGCACTGGGTTTATGATGACAGTACAGAATAGGAAACAGCAATGACAGCTGTTTTCTACAAGCAGAAAAAAAAAAAAAAAAAAAAAAAAAAAAAAGAAACTTCTTGCCATCTCCAATTTCAAGAACAAAACACAATGCGTGGAATAACAAACACATATTCTCACCTTGTTTGACCATTCATACCAGACTGCTTTCACACACACACACACACACATGGATTTTGTCTGAAGTCTGACATGTAGTTTGATCAAAGCTGTAGTGTGTCATCTAAATTCATCCATGCTGTCTAGTTCTTCACTATGTTAGCTAGAACTCATTAGCCATAAATGATGTTAAATCAAGAGCTTTTCAAACTAATCACTGCTCAAATCTCTCATTCCAGCAAAAGACAGTTTGCCTTCTGCAAGAATTCAACAGCTAGAAGGATACTCTACAGAGAAGATTGAGCGAACAGTTCAACAATGAAACAAGAAAATGTACCAACTAAAATCCAATCTCAACCTACAGACCTATATTGTGGCAGGACTCAGTACTGCTAACTCGTCAGTGAGGCGCAGGATAGTTCCTTAGGTAAACACAAATGACTCACAATGCCCTCGTATACGTTCAAGGTGTTACTGTGGTCTCTTACAATTGCTTTATCTTCTTATCCATCTCATTCTACGGTCTTATTAGTTATTACTACAGACCTGCCTAAAATCTCTTTGTGAAAGCAGCTTTAATTAACCAAATAAAACGTCATTTATGACCTAGAGGGAAGTTTCAGACAATGTCTACAGTAAAAGATTGTCTACACAGGAGGTGTTCAGTCACGTTTTTCAGTCATCTTCACATGCATCTGAAACAAATGCGCTTCTATTTTGAATAAATGCAGTCTTCTTCACACAGCCCACATATTGGCTTGTTCCCCACCCACATTATTCGCACAAAACTGCAAACCGAAGCCTGCTTTTTTTGCATCAAGTCAATTTTCTTCTGTTTTACACGACTAGCTTCAGTGATTGTGTGTTGGGCTTTAAGGGCTGCAAAAAAAAGAAAATCAGGTGACCAGACCTAAACCCAATACTGCGCCTGAACGCACCCTGTTTAGAGGAAGACTGAAGCTGCTCTGCATATGTGCTGCTTTCTCCACGTAGGCTGCGACACTGTGAGCCTATAGTAATAATTTTTAAGAAACCACCTGTTCACCTTTTCAAACTAAAGTGAAATGCTTTCAGATTAAGTGCTTAACCCTGGTAAGACAGGTCACAACACCCGGCTGTCTAACATGTGTTGACCTAGTCACACAGGCAGCAAACAAACCGGTTTATCCCAGGCCACTGTGTAAATCTCAAAGTGGTATTTGCACATTTCATACATTCCTTAGAAACACAGACTCGGAAGAGTCTTTCACACCTAGCACCACACAGACACCTTGCTCCTTTTAAGCCTGCCTCGAGAGAAAACTGTCCAATTTTAAGATATAATGGTTGACAAATAAGCGCATGTTCATTATAATATTAACAATAGGCAATAAGAGCCTAAAAAGAGTTATGATCCATTAGCCCATGGTTCTCCAAATAAAAAAAATAATAGTGGTTGTCAGAGCCCCTTACAATTCAGGTGATTAAATTACTTTTTATACTGAAAGGATACAGAGGTTCAAATGTACAGAATAAACAGAAAGGATGGAAGCCAAACACATAAAACCAAGAAAGTGACAAACATCAAACACCAAAACATATTACATGCCAAAATGGGACTTGCATGTACAAGACTAAGGTTCTGAGACAGCCTTATAAATATCTGTTTTCTTGGTGCTTAACTTGTCAAACTCAGAGAAGCCTGGAACCAGACTAGGTGTCATCAAAAAGAACAAAGCAAGTACAAAGTGACAGCAAATTCAAACTTCAGCATAGCAGATAAGCATCTTGAGTGTGCTGGCCTTCCCAGTGGTGACACATTGCACCTCCCACCCCACTGCGACTATATTAAAGAAATACCACGTAGCTTTGGCTACAGAAACAGGAGATTCTCACACAGCACAACAGGCCACTGTTAAAAGCCAGGGAACCAGGCCTCTGTGTCATCGGGGTTCACATCATTCATTATGTGAGCTCAACATTATCATTTCCTGACTCGAAATGAAACCTCTAGTGCTTCCACACTTACTTTATTGGCTCCAAACTGCACTCTGGCTTTTCCTTTGACTAAAGTGGCATTGATCTGCATGATGACAGACTCAATGGAATAGGCACTGCTCCAGCCCTGCAATCAGAAACCCCAGTGTCAATAAGAGTAGGGTTTAAAAACAGATGCAAATACAATTTAAGGTAATATTTAATATTATGCAGCACAAATCCACATTTATTCAAGGCTCATGACATACCTGTTTGGTGAGTAGTTCCATGCACAGGGCACCTCCTCCAAGAACATAACTAAAGCAAGGACAGAAAGAAAATTATCAGAGAAAGGGGTGTCAGCACAACACAAGGAAGTCTTGTTCCAAAAGAAAAATACCCTTTTTAATACAACAGTTTGTTCACTAACTTGGCTTCAAATTGAAAATGGTAATAGCAATGGTATAAAGCTGTTTAAACCAGCTAAATAACTCACCCTCCAGAAAGCACAGGAGACACCACCCGGACAAACGGTGGATCAAAGGGGAAATTATCCTGTAGAGACGACCAGCAAAAACTATTCATTTACAGGCTTCAAAGACTCCTAAATGTGTTTCATTTTCATTAATTCAGAGCCAATTTTACTCACTTTATATGAGAAGTTTAGTAAAATGTAATCCATTCCTTCCTTTTCCTTTAGGACTTGTAAATCACTGTGCAAAGGGCTATCTGGATCGACCCTGTGGATTATAAAATGATGCTATCAGTCTGCGTTCATGTTAACATAGAGAAAAGAAAATAATGTGACACAAGATTTAAAGTTACTTACGTCCTTAGTTTGACGTGCCACTCATACAGGCTGTCATTGACAAGCTCGACTGAGTAGATGCCTGCGAAAAAAATTAATTAAATATCTCCTCTGACATAATATTTTCATTCTATAAAGTAAAAGGTTATGCAATGAGAGAAAGCAAAAAAAGTATTGTAACTACTACCTCCACTGTCATTCTGTCAGCTAATTCTGCAACAATTATTTGAAGCCTCGTTCAAAAAGTGAGGAGCTTGTACAAAATAAAAAGGCTTAAAACTAGGTTGCTGTTCAAGTAAAACCAAATTTGGTTTGTGCTTAATTTTTACTAAGAATACCATTTTTTCTTTGTTAAACTGCTGTAGAAAGCATGTCAGTGAGCCAACAGCCATTACTAAAGCATGCAAGAGATTAGGGCTGTCCCTTTACAGTTGAGTAAACTGTTACACTTGGTTCACACTGCCTACCTGAGCAGCGCATGGCGGCTATGGCACTGAACAGCTGCGTCTGGCACACGCGCGGTGTTTACACCGACAGTGTGTCAGCTGCATGGCTGCTGCTGCTGCTGCCAGCCCCATCTTTCTATACTGAGTTTGCCTTTGATAAAATACCATAAAATAAAAGCCTTGTTAACATATGAATGAATTCTGTCCACAGAAACACCAGTGTGCTTTAAATCTGCAACAGGTACAGGAGGTTTTGAGGGGTTACAGGTAAGTCGTTGTGAAGAGGAGCACAGCCTCCCAGTGACTATGGGTCGGACCAAACACTAACTCCCACACCATTGAAGGCCAGGTGATTTACAGTTGCTCTGACCAGAATTAGACATGGTGGGTTCAGACAGGGCCAGGAGAGGACTGAATTTGGATGGAGTTAATTTGTAATTAACATTATATATCATCTATTGTATTATTGTTTGCGAGTACTTGTCTTTGTGAAGTTATTTCAGTTATTTATTCCGTGTGAACAACGATACTTGTGTGATGTTATACAATGCTGAAATAAATTGACTAAATGTTCAATCTCCTTGCTGGCTGTTCACATTCAGAATCCTTACTGCCTTTTCCGTTAGCAAGCGGCTGTTAAAATATATGCATTTGAATAGTTCCTTGCCGACAACCAGTTGACAAGGAAAAGCTTTAGCTGGGGACGGCCCTACAAGAGAGACATTTGCAGATAACAGTTAAAGGTGTAGTGACCTAAAGTACAACCACTACACCCACATGAGGGTGGAGCTGACCTTTTTTTTTAAATAGTGTATAGTTTTTGAATTCTGCATATCTGAACTCACTCAACTGTTTATATCTGATCATGTAAACATCATTGCAGTGCTTGATGTTCACCAATACTCATCAATCACTTAAAAGAGCATAGAAATGATGATTATTGTGTATGAGGATTTGTAGGTACATGTGCTAGTTTCTGAGTTATTTTTAGTCCTCTTTTCACTCAGCTCTGCAACAAAGAGCAGACATTTGAGCAGTGTGCATACCTGTCTTGTAACTCTGAGACCTGTAGATCTCTCTAAGCTCCTTCATCAGGCGGTCAGAGGCTTGCACTGAACCAGACACAGCTCCCTGCAAAATACAAAACCACAACTTTAACAATAAAGACAACGAACACAGTGGTTTCAATTCACTGTGAGGGTTAACCTGTCATCTGTACTGAACACGAGCCAACATAAAAGAGAAAGCTTTATTCTACTAGACGCCCATATTTATATCAGTGCACCCCCAAGAGAATGATTCACTGATCGTCAAATTATTTTTAAAAATTTCAAGTGCATGAAAAGAATTGGCTCCATAGTTCGGATATAACCGTATTCTCGACACATTTTAGATACCAAGACACCTGCACAGCTGAGCCATTAAACTGGATGACGGACAAGCTGACAGCCCTTCCCAGAAGAAAAACAAATCTTTACGCGAGTTTGTGCCCTACAGGGGCGGACGCTAAGAGAAACCTGAATATGAGCTGTATATGGGAGCACACTGCCTACCGTCAGATATATGGAAGAAATATCTCAATTTTCTTTTTCAAAACTTCTCCCCATTTGTCTTTCACAAAAGTAGTCACTACTGAGCAAAAGGAGCACTCCCAAGGTACGAACTCAAGCCCTTGACAGTCCCTCCAGGATTTCGCTGGCTTTTTGGAGATTGTTGCAATGTTTTTTTGTTTTTAGACATTAAAATTGCAGAAATAGTTGTCATTTTTTTTATAATTCATTAGAAATTGAAGGTGCCATATCCAGTTATAATAAAATCACTAGTAGTTTGGTGATGTACGGCTAACGTTTTGTGCAGGGGACTGCTATGACTGGTGAACGTCACAGGAAACAAAAATCAAATTTATAGAAAAGTTGAGGTTATTTGAAAACATTTCAAGGTTGCGCAGAATTTGCTGGGATTTGCTTCATTTCTGTTAATCCTTTGCAATCGCAACATCAAAACTTCCTGGAGGGACTGCCAAGATAAAATGTGTTAACAATAAGCCCCTTAGCTCCTCATAACATATGTACTTACATTCAAGTGGTCCTGCCTCTGGTTCTTTCGGATCTTCTCCAGGATGGCCAGATTCTCCTTCTCAATGCCGTCATCCTCGGATTTCTTACCATCCACGGGCTCCTCCTCTTTCATGTCATAGTGGTCCAGATCTTCTATGTCCTGTTGGTTCAGGTTTGATATTTTAGACATAAATTCTGGTTCACCAGTAATACATAGAAAATCAAAATCAAAAACAGCTCGAGGATCAAAGCCCAGTCAAAAGATTTTAAATGTCCTCATTCACTAGAATAACATTGTAACAAAGAAAACATTAACAATGTCAATATCCAATCAAATATAATCAATTAAAACTTAAAGACAATAATCATCATGTATGTGTAATCATAAGTAATACTGGCATTTTTATTCAACAATAAGCTTTCCCAAAACACATCATACTGGCATGCAATACCAACAGCCGAAACATTCCTCTCTGATGATGTGTGACTAAGATGGGAGGAAAATACATAAGTGTTTGATTATTGAGCATCTAGCACATTAGGTATTTAGACCAAAGATGATAACTTACCTCTCCCATCTCCTCCTCCTCCTCTTCTTCAGATGTGACCTCTTCTGTCCCATGCTACACACACACACACACCAAACAAGGCATCAAGTTAAGCTGAATAAAGTGGTCTGAAAGAGACTTGCTGTCTTTTTATTTTACATAAGACCACCTTTTACTGAGCATAACCACAGTATTAGGCTATTGATAAGCTTGGAGAACAATTTCATACAAATTACCCAGGTCCTCTGTAATGAAGGCTGCTATTTCATTACTGAGAAAAAGTGGTTTGGAAGGACATAATTAAACATCCTAATTTAAATATGCATAGCATATTCCTAATCAAAGTAATCAAATAGTGTGCTAGATTGCCACAGGGAGGTATTTGACAAGAGCTAACTAGGCAGCCTTGCCTTTCGGTCTTGTCCCACAGGGCCTGCAGGCAGGGGCTGGTCCAGCATCTCCACATCTGGATGTTGGGGAAGGTTGTACAGCCGACAAAGGTCACAAATGAGTTTCTTCAACTGCTGCAAAAGCTAGGAAAGACAAAAGCAAATAAAAAGGGGATACAGAGTTGGAAAAACGATTACATACTGCAAATGCAGCTACACAGCTATGTGGATGCAAGACATGGCAGGAACACTATCAAAGACATGAACAATAGCAGATTATGCAAGTGGACATAGTAAAAATATGATTTTTTACATATTACAGGTTCCTGAATGAAAAACGAGTTACATCTTTCACCAAGCAGTATGCATTGAAGCTTCAACTGTGGAGTAAAATCTATAAGTGTAGCCAGAAATCTTTCAATACATGTGACTTCAAACTAAGAATTAAACATAAAGCACTTATAGCAGCACCGCAAATGATTGCATGAAAACTGACACTGTTTGTACAAAAAGAGTTAGGCGACAAAGTCATTAAGCTGCCACCCGCTAATGTGTTCTGCTTCTGCCTTTGCAAATGTGGTGCAATTCAAATATAGGGTACCGCTGAAACATCTGTGCAACAGTAAGAAAACAGATTGATCTTATCTATCCTCAGGAAGACAAGGGTTGTCCTGTACCTAACCTACAACATTAACAATGTTTTCTTTATCTGAATGTAGACTAAGTTATGGTGCAAACGGCAAACAAAAAATAAATCTTCTGTCCAAGAAAGCTGACAGTACTTCTATAAAAAGCATATTTTGTGTCCTACAAACAGAGCAGTGTGAATAAGTAGGCTAACTAAGCTCAGGATGTCACACCACACATAGGATTACGTAAGAATCTGCCAGTCACAGACATTGTGACCTCTTAGTTTGTTGTGATGATCTAATGACCTGAGCATTTGGTCTGCTGAAAACCTGTCACACATTTATGCAGCACATGCAAGCTGTTTATGCTTGAAAGCCCATTTAACACTAAAATGGTGTTTTACTATTTACAACACAAGAAAAAGCTTGGAATAATGTTGCAAAGAATATTGAATGACAAAAACTTTATGAAATGTAGTTTAAAAGTGAACTTAGTATTTAACCCATTTATAGAATATCTGACAAAAGAAATCAAAGTCCAAAATAAAAAGGAGGAGCACCATAAGATTACTTTGCACCACAATAGCTCACCACAGCAGGCTGGCATTATGTCACAATAATGCAAAGAAAATGCTCCTGCTGAGTGGCAGCCTGGTCAACACTTGTTCAGCCAAAATCATCTACTCACAGCTCATTTTTATTAACTTGACAGCTGCATAACAGGAGAATCTCCGTCTTGTAGTGAGCTCCAGAAAACCTAACGTTACGCTTCGATGGGCGACGTTTTAAGGTTAACCTTCACTCTAAATAATACAATTGTCAGCAGGTTGTGCAGTGTAAAGAAGTCGTCAGGTTTTCCCCAGTGACACAATGTGAAGTAAGCGAGTTAGGAGAAGTACCAGGGTGCTGCCTTTTCTCACATCCTCCAACCTCTCCAAAACTTGCGCCAAGCTCGGGTCATCAGAGTCCACAAACCATATTGGCGGCGTAGATGGATAAGATTCCTAAAGACAGTGGAGGACAACAAAAACAGTTAAATCAACACATTTGACCTAAGTTACACAAAGTCAGTAAATGACGTAAAATCAGGATTGACGACATATTAGCATTCAGGGTGCAACGTTAGCTAACAGCTAGGGTTGCTTATCAACACTGTTAATGTCGAAATGTCAGACCAACAAACCCACTACCATCACTGCGTAGCTCCCACTGACTTTGGCTTATGAAACTACGCAAAAGCTGTCCCGCATAGCACCAGACTGTACAGCTGTGAGGGTAGCCTGCTACCTGGCTAGCAAGTTAACCAGCTAACTTTAGCTCGCTAACGACCAACAAGGGAAGTGTATAAATCCCGGCACTTGTGTTTCTGTCCCCTTACCGTGATGTTACAGTGGATAATTAACAGCTTTTCCCCAGTTACATTAAACTGGCAGCTCAGCTCGTCAGGCTTCCAGTCAATGATCCTGAAGCGTTCGTGGTTTGGATCAAAAATTGACTCCAAAAACTTCAGTTCGGCCTTCAGCCCCGACACCGACATCTTCCACGCATCTCCGGCTGGGCCGCTGGGGAGGGGGAGAAGTCGGGACTTAGCTTTTAGCTAGCTAATGCCACAACGCAAATTCCAGCACGAAATTGGTTTAAAAAGTGGCAAAGAGATGACGGACTGTCCCGGTAGATGTGGCTGGATACCCAGCGCCAGCTATAAGCAGCGTCCGCTCAAATTTCACCGCAATCGGACAGATTTGCTAATGAAGTAGCTAACGTTAGCTAGCTTTCAGTTAGCACTCGAAAACAGCGCAGCGCTTGGCAAGATGCTAGCCAGCGAGTTAGCGAGCTAGTCCGTTGTTGTTGTCTTTCCGTCTATTGTTGTTGTCTGCCTCTGATAACAACAGTTTAAGGCTGTCGCGATGTCCCGTGACCGTTTCCTCACAGTCCCATCGGACAGTTCCTTACTGCGTCCTTAACCGGGTAACAATCATACCATCTCGGCGATGTGAACTTATATCCCGCTGAAGGGACGGTGTTTTTCATCCCGGTGTACAACTGTAGCTGGCCTCTTGTGGGGTTTAAAGATGGCGTTCAGCAATCTCCCCGTTCCCGCAGAATCCCAGCATTCAGCGCGTCCTTAATTTATTTGAGGGTAAGAAAATAAAGGAAAGTTTACAGCAGTGGATTATTTAGATGGCCGTATTGTGATTTTATTTTGTTTGTAAGAAAGAAAGAACAATTTCCCTGCTTTATATAATACATACTACTGAGTTAAACGGGTGCACAGAACTCAAATTGGCCTTTAATTCTAGTGAATTATTTTTCTTTGGTACCACAAATGAAGAAATGATTTAGACTAATCTGTCATCGAAATTATATTTTATGCAGTGTCAGTCTTACTGAGGCTTACTTGGAATTATGACTCGGCACTGGAGTTTAATAATACCAGCAACATCATCAAACACAAGCATTTACATTTTGTGTTTAAAAATGTAAAAAAGAAAAGAAAAGAAAAGAAAAAGGCTGTTGTTATGTAAATTGCTTACCTAGGCTTTGTTTGAGTACATTATATATTATTTTCACTTCAGTACATTAGTTTAGGGATACATACTTTTCAATTGGCTACTTGGACTTAACAGAAGAAAAAAAAGAAGAACGTGTGCAGCAGTGACTATACTTAATATATGTGAAGGTTGATCTGTCATCTGTATGTTTATATCTACAAATACAACATATAGACATGAGCAAGGAAAATGGGGATCATAATGAAGGATGGCCAGCTACACAACAGTCAAGGAGTGATAAATAGGGGTGATAGAAAGTAAATTTAATTAATAACTACTTGTGTTAGCTTGCTTGTTACTATAGTAAGCACATGTTGTTCTTTTATTAATAGAAGCCAATTACTAATCATATTCAAAATCCGCCATGTATGTTTGTCCTGGTGTTTTGTCTCTCTAACCAGGATAGATCACCATTTGTAGATAATTTGTAGAATTTTAATGGCTGCTCAGCCCAAGTGTTATTTTTCCACTACCTGATGCATACTGGGTTGTAAAAAAAAAATTCACTCTGCCCACAAGGGTCCTTGAAAATAACATGCAGTCCACATGCTCTCTGGGTCTATCCCCAATAAAAGCCATTAACAGTGTACTTTTGTATCAAATCATGTCTGTAGTAGGACCTGGTGCCCACTAGGGGGTAGTGTTGGCCCAAGATTTGAACACTATGGTTAGGGTTAGAGTAGGGCAACCTTATTAAAACACTCTGGTGTTGGTCCTACTCTCTTCTAAGTGGTGGTTACTTTTTCAGGCTACATGAATATCTATATGGTTTATGTGTTTCTTGCAAATGTTGCCATTATTTTTATGGTTGAACAAATGGCAAACATGTCAAGATTATTTGCATTTGCAGTCTATAATTGGATCGATATCTCTCAAAAAATCTAAACTTGGAAATATTTTCACTTTCATGTTGAGAGCCAGACAGGCTCAATACCAGGAAGATGGCAGAAAGTCTTCAGGAAGCCGTCCTTTTAGTCTTTGAATTAAATTAGACAGATAGTGTGGATTTCGGGGAGCACACCAAACCTTAAAAGCAAACTTTAAAAGCCATTCCCTTTGTGAGTGAGCCTGTTATCAGGAGAGTTTTGGGAGTAGCTGACTGGCCCAGAATAGTGCTGTGCTGTCGCCTCTAATTATGCTATCATGAGGTCTCCCTTTCAACAGGGATAACCTTTCTTTTATTTTGCCCTCTCCAAATTAGTATTCTGTGATAGACAGCGGAGGACACAGGAAACTTGCTCGAACATTACTGGTAGAAGTTCATTGCTTAACGTCTAATGTAGTCATATGTTATACCTCAGACCAGTCGTACCTCTGACATCCACTGGATAGAGCAGCGGAATTCAAATGTAGCTGTAACCCATATTGAAGTTGTTAACAGTACCTTCAGCTCTTGAGCTATGCTGCAGTTTGAGGTTTCAGTGTTGAGAAACAACATATTGATTTGGCATTTTAAAGGACCATAAACTAAAAGCGCGGCGGTGGTTGACTCTAACAATCTACCTGAACTCACCGAGTGTGCAGTGCAGGTCAGAGGTTTGTTAATGTAATAGTTCCTGAGGAAAGGTCAAGGTTTCAGTCTAGCAAACACTGTAATTCATTTTTCCTTTTGGGGTGGGGTGGAAGAGTGGAGGCGGTGGTGTAAAAATCAACAAGCGTAGATGTGCTGAACACCAATTGCACCTTCTTTTTCTTACCATGCTCTTGGTTTTTTTCCTAGGTGTCTATAATTAATGAGTGAGGGCTAGTGGGTGGCTGCCTGTGCGTGGGCATTCCTGTACATTCAGACGTCAGGGTATTGGCCAGACTATGATCACAGTAATTTATTCTGGGGAAGTAACAAAGGTTTGAGTAATTATGGAGGGATATTATTTAGTCCCCTGTTCAAATTATAATAGCACAGCCTACGTCCAGATATTAAGAAGGCTGGTTGAATGCGTTGCAAAAATCAGGCATGAGCAACCAAAGACGTCACAAGAGCTGAAAGTAATGATAAGCTTAGTGAGATAATATGAGTCTGTTTATGCCTTATATTACAAAGTTTAATTATATAGCTGACTGACCTGACCATTAAGTATCATCATCGTGAAGAGAAATGTCTCTTTTTAAGTGTTGTGTTTTACGGGCTGCTTTTTTAATCTTTCACATCCGCTTTTTCCGCTCTTCCACCTGCCCACTTCACTTCATTTAACTGCCAGGTTCATTCTGACCTATGTTACCCAAGTTGATTTTTCACTTGCAGGTTAAATCAATTAGTATACATTCTAGTTGGTGTGTCATTACTCTGCATTGATTGCTTATCGGGGAGACAGTGTTGAGGGACTTGCCCTCTAATGGTATAATGTCATGTTATGGAAGACAGCGGTTGTATAACATTCTGCAAAAAGCAATTAACCCTCCTTGCTGAACGTGTTGCATCTTCCCACAACTGACAGCCACTGAGAGACTTTGTACATTTAGACATATTAATTATACCAGCATATGTCCAGTCTTGACATGTCAATGAAATTCTTGAGTAAGATACTATGCGTATATATATTTTTGCAAGGAAAACATTATCATATTTCATGTTGTTTTTTTTTTCATATATTTTATATGGTCCCTTACTGATTGCACCCCCAGTATTCACTCATGAAGAGTACATGCAAATGCAAGCGAAAAGGTGGACATCTGAGAAATGGATTGTAGATCTCAATCTTTTTATTTTTAAAATATTTTAGCTTAACAAATTCCTTCAGGGATGTCTCAAAGTCACGTCCAAACTTTCCAAGGATCAGAACCAACCAAAACAAATGCCTTTTGTTAAATCCTGATTCTCTTTTCAGCCTCGCTTTATGATTGAGCAGCTGACATGTAGTTTGTCACAGTGTGCCTGTGTATGCACTAATAAAGAGGCAGATTGCTGTTGTCCTCTGTGATTTATCCTGCTCTTCTGCCCTTCATCTGCACTAGACGAAAAAGTTAATTAAAACCCTGCCTTGTCTCCTCATTCCATCCCAGACAGCAAGAGCAAATCATCTCCCACCATTTACGAGCTTTTATTATTTCTTTATGAACAACACCAGAGCTTAAGTCAAACTGGGCAGCATGAAGGCTATACATGCCTTCTTCTTTCAGCTTGAACTTAAACCTCAGTATAAGATGTCAATGCACAACCGCTGGCACGCTTTATTTTTGTCATCCCATTTAGATATTCTCTTACAAATTGTTGTGTGTAGCACTTTCCTAATTAAACTATAAACTGCTTGGCTTGTCTATGTACTGTAGTTACATAGAATTAATAGTACAACAGAAGTGAAGAGCAGTACTTCACATAAGAGTGTTCAGCTCATTAGTTCACTAAAACTGTCTTTATTAGCAGTGTTAATGAGAAGAAGTGTTAAAGAAAATCCCAGCTGTGTTTGAGCCACTGTGGTGTTAAACCAACCAATGTATTGTAGGGATTTGGAAGTGTTTAGATGTTTAGCTTTGGATACCTGAAGCCATTCCTCAACTGCCTCTACTGCTGATTCACCACATAGAGCAGGGCCGTTTGTCAGACAAGACTGCACCATTTCCAACACAGAGGAGCAATATTACATTTTTTTCTGGGGAACAGTGAGTATACGAGCAGAGACACAGAGAAGGACAGTTCATATACAGGACACAGAGCCACAGTGAGTGTAATATGTCCTTGCATCATCCACACCACTGATAGAAACGGTGCTTCATTTCCAGAGAATCTATATCTCTCACACCCAGTGCTGGACAGAAGCCACCGAAGGCTTCATTTAGACAACACAGTACATCAATAATACCTTTCTGAAAATAATTTTCGCCTGTTGGCTTTTAAATGTTTAGGCTGCAAGGAGTGATGATGTACAAACGTCCAATATACCATAATGTGAGAACTGTCCTTGAGCTACATTAGACCTTTTCACAGTTGTACTAAATATGAATTTTCTACCTTAGGGAAATGTAGAAAGAGCCCTGCTATGTTCTTGTCTGTCTCTTTGAAAATCTCAAATAAGTCAACCCAACAGCTGTAATTGCAGCAATATATAGTAATAAACAATATTGCAATTCATCAATACAATTTAGAGCATAGCCCAACAGCATCAGATGCAGTCTGGCAGTGGGAGTGATCAGGCCAGTGAATAGCACCTGTGCACAAACCTCCAGGCTTATTTCCAGCATCTAATCAGAGGTGTCGTCCTGATTCTGACAAGCATCTTGGGAAATCGCCCCCCATTGGACCATGATAGTTCACTGAAGTTACTAAGACCCTACAAGAGCACTGCATCCAGAACAATGGCTAGAAAAAAAACTGAAATACTGATATCATGAGCAAGCAATGTGGAATAATGTACAAAACTGAACAATAGAAATCATTTTATATTATTTATTATTTAAAGTTTAAATTTATTGCTGTGAAGGAATTGTAGTTTAGGTATACAGTGTATTATACAAATTGGTTTTATAAACTTTTTACAGCAGTGTCTTCCAAAACATAATTACATTAAAAAGGCACTTGTCAATTCTATGGGTCGTAGTC